ATCACAAATTTGAGAAGTAAAATTTCTATTTTTGTAAAAGAAAAGAGAAGAAACCTATTTGGTAGGTTTTCCATGGAAGAACTCCACATTTTATTATCACCTGTATTTAATGTAGATTCATATGTCCTAACTTTCAGGAAATAAAAATGACAATCTTCCTTTAGGATATTTTCATTTTTGAACAGCACTAATGCACAATTATGTATTTATTTGAATCTAAGTATTCACTCTCAAAAATTGCTAACTAGTATCTGAGAAAATAAAATTATTTTTGAAGTGTTGAACATTCATACAAAATAGTACATATTTTTTCATCTTAATTTCATGTAATTTTCTCAGTAAAGACATCACATAGCTAACATATATTCACACATCCCTCCCCCATACTCTAATATGCTGGAAAGAGAACATTGATATTTTCTACATTTTTTAAAAACATTTATGCATAACAAGAACTGGGGTACAGGCTAGAGGTGCAGGGGGTGAGAGGATTCACCAGAGAGAGAATGGGGAACAGAACAGGCAGATTGACTGAAATACACTGCTGAGGGGAGCAGCAGGTAAGACAGGAGAGGACTGCTGCGCCATGTGGGTAGCTCCCTGGCAGCCGGGGATTGAACTCTTATCTGCAGTGGCTGCAGATAGCTTCATAGTGCTGTGCTTAACCCCTGCGCCACCGCCACCGGGGAGGCCCATGTTGATGTTTTCTCTCTAGCAGTCACACATTTATTTGTGTGTTATCTTCATCAATGGTTGTCTCCTCTAATCTAGAAGCTTCTAGAAGGCAAAACCCTTCTGGCTTGTGTAGGACAGTAAATGTAGTGAAATGGTTAAGCTCATGGAATCCAACAATTTATTGCCAGGGCTTTGTCCCTCTCCTCCTTTTATTAGATTTGTGATCATGGACAATTTGATGATGATGATTTTTTTCTACCACAATTTCCTCATCCATGAACTCTGTCTCAAAGAATCCTAAGAATATTTAACTAGTATTTTTATATCTGCAACAGTGAGTGGCTTATATGAAGTGCCAAATTAACATCCATAAATGCTACTTTTGCTTACCATTGAACCCTTATTAAAAAGTAAAAAAAAAAAAAAAAACAGACACATATAAGAATCTCAAAGACATTTTATTCAGTGATTGAATGGCTGGCTAACTGTATGAACAAGTGGAGAGAGATCATAGAGATCGGGGCAGTGAATTTCAAGTCACTTTAGGTTTGGACTACCTTCTTCCATTAAAAGTTAAGGATATGTGCAATGTGTAAGTCCAACAAATGAATGATATAAAAGAATAGATGCCCCAGTTGAAGGTGACAGTTCATTGGGTCCAGAGTCTCGTCCTCTAGATGTCCATTAGACTGGAGAAAAAAAAAATTGTGATTTAAGTCCAACTTTTTAAGGCTCAAAGATTAGAAATGAATACCAAAAGGAATCAAGTCAACTGTCCAAGCCCAGGTGTATATCACATCTGGACTCCAGTTAAAGACACATGTATGCAACATGGATTGTTCCTGTCTCTCTGAGCTTCATTTCACAATTCTTCCCAGAGTTCCTTATCTACCCTGTTTAGAGTCACAACTGCAGTTCCAGGGAGAGAAAAAGGAAAAAAAAAAAAAAAAAAAAGCCTGGAAACAAGACAAAACAAACAAAAGAACTAAAATGTACTTATTTTCTCTTTCTAAATTACTACATTTTATAACCCCTATTACCATACCAAAATTGGCTTTCTTGTTTCCTTTGCTTTTTTTCTTTGCTGCTTCCAGTTCAGAATTAATTCATTCAACAAATATTTGAACACCTACCCTGAGGCAGCTATTTTGAAGCATGTCAGACTCATTTGTGATCAAAAAACCAAAAATCTCTGCCATCGTCGGACTTTAAAAAAACACTCTAAATAAAATATTTGTGGGACATTGGCAAAAAATAAATTGAAGAGATATTCAGAATGACATTTCAGAAAAGTTCTTAGTTTGATACACAAAACAGTATTTTTTTCAATTAGTTTATGTAGGATAATATACATTGCAGTCTTGATAACAAATCCTTATTGAGCAAAAGAGACCATTTTTCAGTTCCTTTTATTCTTCATCAATGACCATTAATATTATATAATGTAATTCAGATGAACACATAGTTTGGGGGAATTTTAGGCTGTATTCAGGCCTAAAACAATGTCCCCTAAGCAAGTATGCTCACTGGGTCTGGTTAGCTACAGACTTGCTGTATAATTATTTCAGTCTCGGCAGCAATTATACCTGAGCTATAAAAACGAGATTCCACTATAATAAAATTCACAAATGATATTTTAATCAAACTATCCTCACTGTTATCTAAAACAACAATGTCTCCTTCATATATAACTATCTTAAACTTGTAATCCACTATATTTTATGAAATAGCACTGTGTCTGATATAGTGCTGCAATGCTAAATTTGGAATTAACCATCCAGAATATTCAGTATTCAGAGATTTGAAATCACACAAAAAAAGCTCATACTGATGCTTTACTGAATTATTAGCTTTACTGAATTATTAGCTTTTACTGATGCTTTACTGAATTATTCACTTTTCTTCTGTGTGTTTTGGGACACTCAGGTCTTACACAATTTAGGCACTGGTTCAATTTACATAATTAATGCATATAAGAGGAAATACAAAACACATTCCTATTTAGGAATGAATATATAGCATTGATTAGTATTTTAAAATAATCAGAAAAATTTCTTCTGTTAATTCTGGTAGTACCTATATTAACAAAAATTTATTCCATTGGAAATTATGTATAGTTTTCAATAGGAATCAACTCATATTCTGAAAAGCATCTGTGATCTTTCACTGCTTACAGTTATAGGTACATAATAGAATATATTACCTAGATTCATCATTTAGGTTAATGTTTTCTTTCATATCAGGATAGTTAGGTTGTCGATCTTAACTCCTCAGAAAAGCACTTATTTATATGATAGCTATTAATTAAAGGAAACAAAAGAAATGGCACTTTCATTATAGACAGACCCACATATTTAAGTAGAGTATTTTAAATATATCTGATGCTATTTTAAAACAATTAAAGGGATGAGATAAATGAAATACTTACTTTAAAGACATATAACATTCAAAAAGGATTCCATGCTTAGCTATTAAAAGGAACTGTCAGAATATTTCCTAAAAATATTTATAAGCTCTGCTACAAATTAACTTTTTATTTGTTTTGAAAACACATAATGGAATGAAAATACCAGAGTAAACTGCAAGATGTACAGGGCTACCTATCTTTAAAGAAAAAAAGTACACTATTTTAACTATTAGTCCATTTGATCATGCCAGTAATTAAGAGAAGCAAATTGATTATGTTGTTACATAGTAGAGTAAGAATTTAGAGAAAAAAGAAAATAATTTTAAAATGAAGTTGCTCAAATTCAATTTCTATTAAGCCAAATTCTGATCTTTCAACAGATTTTCCTGTGAAATTTCATAAAATGCCATCCGGATTATCTTTTTGTTACTTTTAAAGATGCTTCAAAACATACTGTGCTAAGGTGAAATGGTGCTAATTTTGCACTGGATTCACAGGGTCTACAAGGAAAGGTGGAGCATAAAGTGGGGGATGGGAACCTAAATTATCTACTTCCCTTTCAGAAAACTGTGGGCATGGTAAGGGCTTTCTGGATACAGTGGGGAAATTACAAGGAGGAGGATTCAGGAAACTAACTATATCTTATCTTACAGCATCATATGATTTTCAGAGCTGGGAAAGAGCAGGCAGAAACTTAAGATCCCAATCTTCTCCTTGATACTCATCCCTTTATCTGGAAACTCTGGTTATCTATAGAACTAATTCTCTTTCCTTCTTAGGTAATTTGCAATCTATAAAACCCTGATAAATGACACTGACTTACTCTGGAAGTATAACTGCTTCATGAATATATCACAATAATATTCTTAGCCTTAATGATAGTTTTCCATTTCTCCAATGCACTATATTTCTTTGAATGTCATTATAATCAAATATGTGCCATTACATCCAGATTTACATTCATTGATTGATTACTTATTTCATTTAATATATTTGTTATTAAATATCATCTAACACAATCTGCCATATTACATTGCTCCAAAAGTATTAATTATGGCTTGGCAGATCCAGTCTATAAAAAACAATGGTTTTATATGCATTCTGCATTTGCAAAATGGGTTTAACCAACAGACGTGAGTGAATTCGGTGCAGAAAACTGAAGAGATCATTTAACCCACTAAATTTCAGTCAGTATGTTTGAGAGTACATTCATCCTATCAATTAGATAGTAATTTTGGGGCAATTTTTTGCTTGTGAATTACTTTTATATCATTCAGAAAGGCATTTATGGATGAGTGATAGTTCTATGTTGTCCCCCAACTTCAAAGATTATCATTAACCATTTTTTGGTTCTAATAACACATTTGTTTCCAAAATGTGTGAGTCTGGTGTTCATTGGTTCTCCATGGCTATTTTACTTTTATCAAAACTCATATTTAAGTATGTCTTATTGGCTTGCATGTTTGCATTATGAGGTCTTCTTGACTTCCCACAAACAATTCATATCAACTTTCTTATCAAAAATCATTTCAAAAACTTGATTTCTAACTTAGAGTAATTCCAGTAGAAAACTAGAGAGGTGTGTCTATAAAATGCAAAAAAATCTAATCAATTATGTCAGACAGTTAGTCATTTATCCAGATTATTTTGTCTGCATACCAATCAAATTTAATGAATTCTATTTACTTGACTAAATTTATTTCAGAATGGCTTTGATATTTTTAGACATGTCACAACATAATAATAAGTATAGCAATAGACACCCTCAAATAACAATATATTCAGATTTCAACCTTGAGAAAAGTGACTAAAATTGGTAAGTATCAAACAAAGTGATATAATTGCAATTTGTATTCCACAAATAGCTGAGGCTCCGCATTATATATATATATATATATATATATATATATATATATATATATATATCTCAATTGATTTCAAAGATTAGATCTGAGAAGTACATGTACCCAAACAAGACAGAAGAAATAAATGTTATATTGCATTTAAATTTGAAACAGATCAATTAATACTGGGCAATTTACTGATGACAACGACTATTTGTGACCGTGGGTATCCATTTTAATTAGGTTATTGCTTAAGGATCATAATTAGTTTGGAATATTTTGGAAAATTTGCAGACTACCTTATAAAGTTACATAAAATTGTGAAAAATTTGCATGCTTTAAAAACTTAGTATTTCCATCAACTCTGTGATCTAAAAAGAGTATGAAGACAATAGCAAATGAATGTTTTGAACACAGTTTCTTAGTATTTACAGTATCTTCTCTTCTCTAGTTGCCCTTCCTTCGAAACTGGTCAATTCCTTTTCCTGGGTTTTTTCCGACTTGCATTCAGTACAAGAAGGTATTTGCAATTTCTGTCAAACAATATAAAAACAACAATTAAGAGAGTGTAAGCAGACATATGTTCCAAGGTAAAAATTAAAATACTAACAGAATAGCAATGTAATCTTCATAAATATCCTACAGCAACTAATGCTAGACAAAGCCAAAACACATATAAATATGTTAATTCTTTCACTTCATGAAAGTAAATTATTGTTTGTGTGCAAATGGCAAGATAACTCAAAAACTATTTTGAGAAAACTTAAAACTATTCAATTAATATTAATCTAATCCAAAAGTTGTACTATTGAAATAAAACCCGAGTATTATATTTTTAGTCAAAAGAGTGTAAATGGAAGCTCAGAACTAAGTTACTGTGTGGTGTATGTTTGTGTAAGGGATATGCCATTCTTCTTAACTCCTCAGCATCCCCAAACCTTTTTATCTTACTTTTGCCACAGGAAATATATTCATGTTTTTCTCTATTTTTGTTTTGCTTGTTGGTTGTGGGGGTAGTTGGGGAGCACCTCCCTCACAATTATTCCTAGGACCTCAGATAATCAAACCAAATCTTAGTAGTCATGGAAAGGTCCAGAGTCACTAGGAAAAGAGAATATTAACCAATACAACATCCCTGCTTCAGCTAGAGTAAGAGAGAAAATTATTGAATCCATTGGATTCAAGAAGTGCTTTCTGACAATCAAAACAAAGTAACAAGAGAAAACATAAATACCTGCAGGGCAGTTTCTGATTTGCTACTGCTACTGGTTGGGGTATATTCTTGCTTCGTTGAACAGTTGCTGTCATTCTGTAAAAGTAGTAATTGAAATAGATCAATGGACTATGGTGATGGTGCACAGGTGAACTGGTGGTGGGCATTTCACAGGGAAACCATACATTGTACAAAACTGAAGAATGGTATAATAATATATTAAAAATAAACAGCATAAAAAATGAAAAATAGGTCAGTGAAATACACTGCTGAGGGGAGCAGCAGGAGAGACAGGAGAGGTTGCTATGCCATGTGGGTCAGCTCCCTGGCTGGGCATCGAACTCAGGCTGCAGCAGTGATAGATGGTAGTGCTAAGACCTGTATGCTGAAATTTGAAATCCATTTCTTCATAATGTATAAATGCATTATAAGGCTCTAAAAAGGAAATATGCTATAACCGCTTTCCAAATCTATTTGACCTGAAGGCACTTGTTTTGCTTATGGAGCATCCCTTGACCTCACCGTCATGATAAATAAATATATCTTTAAATAAATAAATCCACACTTGCTTGCTCTCATGTGTTCTTTTATTAGTGCAAAGACAGCCAACTATCTGAGACAAGCCTTTGATCATTTGAACAATGAAGACTTATTAGATTTCAATATTAAAGAAAATGTTATGAGGCTGGAAGATACCTCGAGCCTTTTTGGATACTTTGATCTTCTAATGAACACTTTAAATTTAATGTTTTCTCTGTGCTTTGCAGGCATTATGGAAACTTCATGGTTGGGGTTCATAAAATTCTTAGTGTTTCTCAGAGAGGCAACAAATGTAAGGATAACACAATTATAACTTTCATCTGATAACTTTATAGGTTTTGATGAAGCAGGAATTCAATTGGTGAGAACATAAAGGTAAGTTTTCTTCATGGAATTCTTTCACTCTTGCTGCAAATTATCACTCAGATTGTCAAAAATACCAGAAAACATAGTTAAAGAAGACAAGGAAATCTGACCTACTAACATTATAGTATAAAGATAGCATAAAAATATACATTTGGCCAAATGGTTAAAAAGTGCTTCAGAGTAAAACAGACTTTGATGCAGTTAAAATGACTGTTCTCACAGATAAGCATTAACAAGTTTGACTCTCCAGTATTTCTTGCTATTTCCCCCTTGTTTGACAGGTTTGTCTTCTTGCATTCAAAGGAAAAGGGAGTTAAACAGCAGTTGCCCAAAAAGCAAGCGGAAGCCCACCTGTCTTTGTGCAAACCTCATTTTCTTCCCCTTTGCGGACTGAAGTCCATTTCCCCTTCTTTTCCCTTTGTATAAATAACCCTGCACCCTGCCAAAGAGCAGGACAGTGGTCTTTCAGACATGAGTCTGCTGCCCTGCTCATTTGTGGACAAATTAAACCACTTTCCTTTTCCTCAAACTCTGTTTCCTTTCATTGGCTGAGAGAAACTGAGGTCTGCATTTGGTATCAACTTTGGTTCACATTTTGGCTCTGACATTTATTTACTGGTGATCTTGATCAAATAACTTAATTAGTTACTTATTTCTGCATATGTTAACTGGTTATAAAATGGGGCTACTCCTTCAAAGAGTTACTTTGAGGTTGACATGAGAAAAGACATAAAATTATTCAGTATAAATACTAACAAATAGTAAATATTTGTCATCTCTTACCCCCTCTTCTATTAGTAGTAGTAGTAGAAGTGCTCACTTATATCACTAATGATTGCAAACAATATCAGGGAGTTGACAATGACATTACAAATGAAAAATAGGATGCGGCAAAATCAACAGTTATCAAAGTTAAGCAATTCTCACACAGGGATGAAGAGGAAAGGGGAGAGAGATAGGGAAGTAAAAGAAATAGAGAAGTAAGTTCTGACTTGAAGGAATGTAAGGACATTTAGTACTGACCCTATTTGACACTATAAATACAAATGATAAAAATTAATGTAAATAATAATTTCCTTTGGGAAGGAAAAAGATAAGAAAATAAAAATTATGCCAAGGTTATGCAAAATTGTGTTTATATATTTAATGATTTTCCCAATAAAATGAGTTTTTAGTTATGTTGGGAATCACTTAATCTAGTATGAAGCCAATGGGTCCTCTTCTAGGGAAGCTGTTTTGGAAATAACAAAGTAATACTTAAAACAAACTCTCTTCATTTAGAGAAGCTACATTACACAGTAAAGTGTGGTTACTTAGTGTGGTAACTATGGTCCCCTGGTGTCCCCTGGACTGACAGCTGCCCTGCCCTGCCCTACTCAGGCCCCCTCCCAGCAGGAAGTAGGCAGATCCCCTGGAAGCCCCTAGGTGTGGTGCTCTCACTGGGGGGACTGAGAGAGCTGTGGCCAGGAGAATTTGGGTAGCGGAAAAGGCTGAGACATGGGACGGTGATTTTAAACAATATAGGAACAGAAGGAACAAAACAACTCCCAGGAAAATAGAAGGGTTTTACTGAAATGTTGCTGAGCTAGCCATCACCTGAAGTAAGATCCAGTTACAGGATAATAAGGCAACAGAAAAACAACCACCAGGAAACTTCCCGACCACCTAATGCCTAATCAATAGTCTGGCACATTGGACAACAGGAGGTCTGACAGCCTATAGTCATAGACAGGGCTGAAGTAAAAGGCAGCCTCCCTTGACGCCCCTCCTGCTGTCAGGAGTTCTTTCCTCTTGCTTCAATAAATCCACACTTGGGGGGCCTCCCTGGTGGTACAAGAGGTTAAGCACAGCGCTTTGAAGCTACCCTCAGCTTCTGCAGCATGAGTTCAATCCCTGACTGGCCAGGGAGCTGACCCACATGGTGCAGCAGACCTCTCCTGTCTCACCTGCTGCTCCTCTCAGCAGTGTGTTTCAGTAGATCTGCTTGTTCTGTTCCCCACTCTTTCTCTGGTGAATCCGCTCACCCTCTGCACCTCTGGCCTATACCTTGGCTCTTGTATGCATAAATAAATATATCTTTAAATAAATAAATCCACACTTGCTTGCTCTCATTTTTGGTGTGATGGCTATTATTCTTCAACCGGTGCATATACTACCAGCATCCACTCTCCTAACAACTGCTGATTTTCTAAGAATATCTTCAATTTAATGCCTTCTCCACGTTGGAATCTAAAGAAATTCATGATTATTCCATTCAATATTTGTTCAAAAACACCATCAGTAGAGATGCCTTTATTCAGTGAAGGTTTGGAATCCTTACCATTTTTACAGGTACTCCCTCACATGTCCACTATTCTGGCCATCACGGGGACTTGTCAAGACATGTCCCCTTTTCCGCTCTGGTCAGGCCAACAGGACTTTGAAACTGGGTTAAATTTGTCAGACAGTAGATTTAAATACTTGGAATTGAAGTTTCAGAACTTCATGAATCCATTACTTAAATAAATTATACAACTTAAAAAAAATAATAAAAAGCTTTTTCCAGATGACTCACTTTTCTTTTTTGTGCTTGAAACCTACACACTGCATGCCATTAAAGAATACCTAATTCCCCATCATAAGCAAAATATCTTTTAATTTTATCACGCAAATGATCACATATCTCAACGAAAGTGGTTATAAATCTTGAAGAGTTTTCCCATTACATTCATTGACTAGAACTTGAGAATAACAAGAACATCAAAATTTATATAGTTTAATTGGTATATATTGATTAAGTAGCAGTCTTTGAGGATTATGTTATCTCAGTTTGTGAAAATGAAATTTATAGATGATAACAGCAGACAGTTCCTTTATGGATAAGGCTGTAAGCCATTTATCATGGAAACTATTCACTATGTTAGGCTCTAAATCTCTTCTGTCTTTCAGAGATCATAGGGTTTATATTTTTATTTCCTTTCTAGATTGCTGAATTAAACTATCCAACTTTCTTTAAACTTGCCTTTCTCAAATCCATTTGCAGTTCAGCCTCTAGACAAGTCTTTCTAACATGTAATTATTCATGTTAACTCACTGCATAAAAATCAAATCAAAAACAAATCAGAATATCCCCCCTATGAAAAAATTTGCAATTTCTTTCAAATCAAAAACAAACCAGAATATCTCCCCTATGAAAAAATTTGCAATTTCTTATAACCTATAAAGTGCTGATTTACTTAAATAGCACATAAGATCCTTCAGAATATGGCTACATTTAGAGTTCCCTCTCCTAATGCTTCCAAACTGATAATGAATGTAACAGCCACATCACGGACTTGTTTTTCTTTACATATTACAGGCAAGTTCACATTTGCAAACTTTTACTTTTATTCAGGCTTCTTTTTTTTTTTTTTTTTTAAAGATTTATTTATTTATTTATACAAGCACTGGGTACAGTCAGAAGCACGGGAGGGTGAGAGAATTCACCAGAGCCAGAGTAGGGAACAGAACAAGCAGACTGACAAAATGCACTGCTGAGGGGAGCAGCGGGAGAGACAGGAGAGGTCTGCCGTGCCATGTGGGACCCTCACTGGTGGCTGGGGATCGAACCGGCGCTGCAGAGGCTGTGGGCAGCTTTGCAGCCCAGCGCTCAACCGCTGCGCCACCAAGAGGCCCTGTTCAGGCTTCTTTATGTTCCAAATAACCATAATACATTAACCATGTTGCAAACTCCCCACTATCATTTAATGAGTAATTTGAACTATAAATCCATAAGACTCTTCTGGTATTAAAAATTCTTTCCTCCCGTCTCTCAGGCCTCCCTTCTCCATAGAAAACATAGACAGTGCCAAGAAACGTATCACCTCTCTATTCTTTGTCATAAATTCTTAGTAGGAACAATAGGAAGATTTTCTAGTTTCAAAGAGAAAGAAGCTTCTTGAGGAGATAAAATGCTACCTATATTGAAAAATATTCTGAACCAGCTTCCCCCCAACAGTTCCCATTTGAACAAATGTTCACTTGGAAACCTGGGAGTTTCTATGGTTGATATAAAAATGCAAATCCTGCCCAATTTTTCATGTTGATTCTCACCCTGATTGAACTAGTCATGATAACTGAAGAGGCAGACAGAAAAGACAGAGGAGATGGATGAGAGGAGGCAGCTAGAGACTGTTTTCTTAAACAAGTGAGATGTGAACTAGAAGCATGGCCCTCAGAAGCACCTTGATGAACCACAGCAAAGGCTCACAAGATAATTTACTAAGCTTTAAAGGAATGAATTTCTGCCATCACATACTTACACTCACAGATTTTCTTTTTTAATATGCTATAAACACAGGAATTTTTGGTCACACTAATGTTTTCTTTGTCTCACTTCCCAAAATGACCTGTATAATTATGGATTTTCAATCCTTTAATTCTTCCAGGTACAACTTGAAATTTTAAAACTTGGAAATATATAAAAATGCTGTCTCATCTATGACTTTTTAATAAACAGAATAAGGTAGTGGCTAAACTCATGGGTCAGGGAGTCTGCTTTGTACCAATGCTCAAATTCTTAAATCTACTGTTTACTAGCTTTGATAAATTGCTCAATTTTTCTCAATCAAAATTTCTATTATTTATAATCTATGGAATAATTTTACTTTTAAAAGGTTTGTAAGGATTAAGTAAGAAAATGATTTAAAGCACTTAGCGCAGTGCCTCTAACCATGAAGTCTCATATGTAAAAGCAGCAATGATGATAATGAAGATAAAGAGGAATGCTGTACACAAACTGGAACAAAGCACCTGACACAGATGAGATCCTTAATAAATCATATTGCTAAATTGTATAAGATGGTAATTGTCAATATAATGATTTATACAGTCCTCTCAGTTTGGGAAACAGTGTAGTTAGAGAATAATTTTTTTCAGCTGCATGTGCATTAATGCTAGCCCAGTATGATATCCCTGAGGGGGGAAAATATGATGTAATCACACCCAAAATTACAAATAATCATTAAAATAATAAACTTTCGTTCTGCCAAAGCAGGGTCTAACACCAATATTTCCAAACCAGGAATCACATTCCCACTTTTCTTCATTTAGCCTATAAACTAAAATTGTAAAGACTGCAAGTCTGCTTAACTTCATATTTTTAACTTCAGGAGAAACAGAATAATTATCAGGTAAGATAAGCATTTTGCTAGGTGCTGAAGGAAATACTAATATTTTTGTAGTCTCTCAAGTTGGTTATTATCTAATGCAAAATGGGAAAATGATACAAATAATCAATACACAAGATAGACTATGAATACAGGATAAACACATGTATAAACCAAGCACTATAAGACCCACAGGAGAAAGACATTCGTGTTTCTTTCAGGGAAGACAGGAGAGGTCAAAGAATTATTGAACATATTACGCTTTGTATTTCCACATCACTTTTTGGCCACCATCATTATAATAAATATCAGCATGCTTATTGCTGTATTTTATTTACAAAATATTGTTGACCATTACTCTTCTGGTTTCTATATGATTTCTGCTAAGAAGTCACAGGTCCACTCTTGTACAAACTTTAAAAATGTGATAGAGGGGTAAATATGGAGATTTATGTCTAATATGAAAAGCAGGAAATTGTTCTAGAGACCCTGGAATTCATGTACCATTCAAACATTAACTGGAGGCACTTGTTTCTTCTTAAAAAATACTACAGTAGAACAATAAAAAATACCTTGTATGAAGCCAATATCTTCAGATGGATTGATGGGGTGTAGCTCATAATGAATGATATCTGGTCTCTTAGACCAATTGCAACAGGGTATGTCTTACCTAGAATATTTTGTTAACCAAGCCTCTGCCAACAACTCATCAAGTCCTTCAAATGTTACACACACACACACACACACACACACATACACACACCCCACTGCATCTAACAGAAAACTAAGAGTTTATAAATCTTTTTAAAGTGAAAAGCTAGCATTATCTTCTACACAATGCTTTAGGGTTTATTTTTCTGCACAGTTTCTCCTCTCATTTCCCTATACAATGCTTGATGTTGAATAAACTCCCTTTGGTCAGGCACTTGCAAGAAGGTGTAATGACAAGGAGCTGAGCAAATGTTTTCTGTGCTAAACATAACCATCCTGATTTTTCATTTCTTCAGCCCATTAAGAAAAATGAAATGTTTGTTACTTTAGGATTTGGAAACATCATAAAACATATTAACACTGAGCATTATCTTAATCCCTAAGTGAAAATTCAAATAAAATGCTCAATGCCTTTGAGTCTTAATATGCTATTAAACAATATGAAAAAACATTTTTGAACTACAGGAGCAGGTACATCCTTTGCTTTCTCAATGTGACTCCAATATTCTCAATTAAGCAAGACTGATTTCAAAGTAATTTAAAAATGTCCCTAACTGCTCCAACATGCAGTGAAGCCTTTGATGATACATTTCCAGTTTTGTAAGTCTATTAAAAAAATGTGCAAAGGAATTCAGAGGTCATTTTCTTAAGTGACCCTGCTTGATTTACATAAGGCAACAAGTACAACAAAGAACCACAATGAGAAAAGCGTATAGTTTATACTTCCAAATTTGGGAACTTGAACACAGAAGATACTGAACCTTGATATTAAAATCGCAGAGCAGGGCATCCCCTGGTGGCGCAGCAGTTGAGAGCTGGGCTGCGAAGCTGCCTGCAGCCTCTGCAGCACTGGTTCAATTCCCAGCTGCCAGTGAGGGTCCCACATGGCACAGCAGACCTCTCCTGCCACCTGCTGCTCCCCTCAGCAGTGTCTTTCGTCAGTCTGCCTGTTCTTTTCCCCACTATGGCTCTGGTGAATTCTCTCACCCTTCCACGCTTCTGACTGTACCCAGTGCTTGTACAAATAAATAAATAAATCTTAAAGAAAAAAAAAATTGCAAGCAATGTTTTTAGAGTGAACTATTCAAGGCATCTATTATATAATTGAATACAATGGACTTCCTATCTATGATATAAAGACATATGTCAAAGAAGGACAACAAAAATGGAAGAGGAGTGAAACTATCATACAACTAAGAAGAAAGTATGATTTTGAGCAATCTCATCTTCTCGCAAGTCCAAATATTCTTAAGTAGAAATCCACTAATTTTCTGCTCTCCATTCTCTATGTATAGTATTTTTAGGTTTTCTCAGGGTCAGAGACCAAGCTATGCTTCAGATTAAGCAAAAAGTAATCCTTTCTTCCCAAAACATCTTGAATTCTTCCTCTTTTGGAGTACACTGCAGAATGTTTTATTTCGTTTTCTCGTTGGTCTTCTTATATTCTAAATGGCATGGCTTTTATACATGTTCAAATATACAAAGATTTGAAGGCCATATTGTTAGAAAATCATATTTTTAAATTCACTTTGGCAGCCAATAGGGGAAAAGATTGACTTGGTTCCCCTGTTTGTATTCTGCCTTATTTACATTGCTGTGGCTGCCTTCTTTTCTATCATACATGATTCCAGCAGACACTTTCTATTTTGTCAACTCATTGACAGTCTAACTTCAAATTTACAAAATACAATTGCTATCATTTGCTGTTTCTCAAATCCAGACATAGTGGATCGATAATTGTGCCAAAGGTTCAGAATTAAATGTTCATGACTTACTATGAGTGAAAACAACCATAGGGTACAATTTCCATTTTTTCTATCATCATTTGCAGATTAAAAATATCCTGGCCTCCCTGATGGCAGAAGGGGTTGAGTCTTAGCACTATCAAGCTATCCATAGCCACTGCTGCAAGAGTTCGATCCCTGGCCAGATTGCTAACCCACATGGCACAGCAGATCTCTCAAGTCTCGCCCACTGCTCCCCTCAGCAGTGTATTTCAGTAGATTTGCCTGTTCTGCTCCCCGCTCTGTCTCTGGTGAATCCTCTCACTCATCGCACCTTTGGCCAGTACTCCAGTTCTTGTACGCATAAAGAAACAAATCTTTGAAAAAAAATAAAAATAGGGCCTCCCTGGTGGCGCATGGGGTTAAGAACCACACTATGAAGCTATCTGCAGCCTGTGCAGCATGAGTTTGATCCCCAGCCGGCCAGAGAGGAATGCATATGGTGAAATACACCTCTCCTGTCTCACCTGCTGCTCCCCTCAGCAGTGTATTTCAGTCAGTCTGGCCTGTACCCCAGCTCTTGTATGCATAAACAAATAAATCTTTAAAAAAAAAATCACCTGACTTCTAGTGTGATGTCTCTATAATTTTGTGCTTCATTGCTTTATGAGGAGAATGCTATAGAATCATATATTTGTTTTTAACATCTCCACAAATTTCTTGGGCTTCCCCTGGTGGCGCAGGCAGTTGAGCGCTACACTGTGAAGCTGTTCACAACCTCTGCAGCGCTGGTTCAATCCCGGCCAGCCAGCAAGGGTACCACATGGCACGGCAGACCTCTCCTGTCTTGCCCGCTGTTCCCCTCAGCATTGTATTTCATCATACTGCTTGTTCTGTTCCCCACTTCGTCTCTGGTGAAGCCTCTCACCCTCCCATGCATCTGGCCTGTACCCCGGTTCTTGTAAAAATAAATAAATCTTAAAAAAAAATTTCCACAAATTTCTTCCATGGGGTTATGGGAATGAGCAGCACTATGGAAACTTAAGTTCTTAAAAAACTTAAGAAACTGGTTACACTTCCCAATACTGTACCTGCGTGATTCACATCCACAGAATATTTGCTTTTTTCAAATTTAAAAATAACATGTTTAGATCATAAAGTATTTTATAATGAGTATTATATAAAGTTTCACCATAGCAAGAACTAAAATGTTAAAATGTGTATGTACTTGTATACAAGTTAAATGCTGTTAAAATTATTTCAAGTTAATCTTACATTTTCAGAATCACATGCAATGGGGTTTGGATTTTGTTCCACAGATGTTCCAACTTCAGAAGTCTCATTGTTTCCAGTAATGTATTCTTGAGGCTTGAAAGAAAAAGAGAGAATGAGAGAACATTTTAGACAAGAGAAACAGGTCCAACAATTAGATTTTCATATGGCTATTGCAAAATATGATACAATGGCAACATTACAATAAAAGAAAAATAAAGTGGATGCCTGCATATATCAGAAAACATAAAAATTGTACCTTAAACATTAATTTTAAAATTGAAATTAAATACTTTTTAGTTTTGTGTTAGTGATACCCAATGGGATTATTTTACCATTAGAAATGATTGTTTGCATAATGAGATTTTATTATAAAGATACTGTTTCTTCAAAAAGAAGGATTCCTGTCTTTTCTTTGTTATAGCTCCTAGTATATATCACTATATCTGATAAATAGCAAATGCACACCTCATTTTTCAATAAGAAACTGTTTTGCAACATCTCACTGTAGTTTATATAGAAGATTATACCCATAATAATATACCACTAATTTATAAAGAGCTGCTCTATACCTCTGGAAATAATGAATATTAATATAAAATTAATTCTTTAGGAACACTAAATTAAAAAAAAAAGTTTTGATGTCCTTGCCAAGGAAGGGTATATTATGGCAAATATAAGGCCTGGTCTAAGATTGTCAACTAAAATATGTGTTACTTGGGCAGAACTGATTTGAATATGGTGCTATGCCCATCAGTATATGAGGGTATAATGTAGGCATTTTTGTGGGTAATAATGTGGACAAATATTAAACCCATTGAATGTTAACTTGCTTGGATCTGAAACTTGGATCTTAGCCAAACATGGAAGATGAAGAAAAGAGGATTCTAACTACTGGGGATCCAAGAAAACAAATGTGAGTCCTCCCACTAAGATGTGGTCTGGTCAGAGTACTCAAATTCTTTCTGTCTTCTCTCTGCTGCATTCTACACGGTGCTGTCCTAGATTTCCACAGGCAGTTATATTCCTTATTAAGGGAACATTCTTACAAAGTTAATACTTTTATGAAAACAACAACCAACAATACAATAAAAGAACTATATTATCATGTGGCAAAAATATTAATAAAACTAGTTGCATATCAGAGAAACATAATAGAAAACATAGCACCTTTGTTGACTAATTTCTATGTTGACCAAATATGTCTTTGTAGGTATAACAATCAACAAATCAATTGAATACGCACAATTCATCTCTCTTTATCCATACACCTACCTGTCTGATTCACAGCCACAGAATATATGCTCTTTTCAAATTTCAAAAGATAATCTTTGATCTCAAAGAGCTCCCATTTGCTCCTCATTAACTGTTTATTAAGTAGTCTACCTTTCTAGTAATCCCTAATGTTATTCTGGAGACTTCTCACTCTCTCATGGCATGGCTTATTCCAAATATTGCTTTATATATCAAATTCTCCTAAGTCATCGGTACATGATAAAGTTAGGTCATTGGAACATCTATTCGTGGAATTTGATATTGAGTGGATTAAGAAGCTACAAATGGTTAGGAACCTTAATTGTAATTGGGGGCCTCTGATTTGTTTCTAGAAAAAGACCCGTCTTGGGTATCATGCTACCTAGTCTTCTGATGCAACCTTTGTTTATACCTATGCTAAGCTTTTTCTGTCTTCTTCTTGATAATATGAGACAGTGATGATCTACCAATAAGTCCCTTAGTTTTAGTTTGGTAAGGATCAGCACTGTATGTATTCACAGAGATCTGAATAATCTGGGAGTCAAATCAACAAATTCAAAAGGCAGCACATTAGCACTGAGATAGAGGTTTCCCATGGAAACCAGTGGGAGGGAAAACTAACTCTGCTAGGGAAATCTGAAACTATATTCCCTGACTCACTAATGATGGTGACTACATTTTAGGGTAAGTATTCACTCTCTTCTAAATATATAAATATGTCCATATTAGTAAAATTAAAGCTTTGATTAATTTTTGCTTTTTGCTGCTTTAAAGTTTTACTACTTCCTATTTTCCCCTGAAATAACTTAGGTTCTTTCCAAAATAATAAATTTTAAAATACATTAAAAAAATAAAATATTGTACGTTAGAATGAGATTAGTTCTAATCAAAAGGATTTGAAGCAATATGCTGAGGTTAGAAAGCACACTTAAGACCTGTGTTTTAGAATTTAATTTACAATATAATAAGGGAAAGAGGAATTTGGGGAAAGGGCTCAGAATTCAGAAAAGGTAAAGTGGAGAGAACTTTAGAACAGAATAAGGCTTGTGGAAAGTATGAAAGTAGATGAACATCCTCTAAGGAGAAAGTAACAGAGTGTGTTATATGAAGCAATTGATGGATTTTACTTCAAGATTGAGGAGTTTAGATTTTATTCATTAAGTAATAGAAAACCTAGATGGTATTTAAGCAATATTTTTGTAACATTTGACAGCCTTAGGTTTAATTACTCATAAAAGCAGTGCTTATAAATCCTGTCATTGACACACAATTCAGTTATAGTGCCACACACACACATAAACACACACTGTGATGTAGACTTAGAACAGAAAGTCTTCATGGGTAGATACAAATATCCAAGTTGATGATACATTATGAAATTAAAGTAATATCATGCATTATTTATTCTAGAGAATTATTCTAAATTAATCATGAGAAACAGAAAATTAGTGATTTCAAAATGTTTTAAATATGAATATTGCTGTACTAAACTTAATAACTATTCTTTTAGTAATACATGTTAATTAGTATTTAAAAATGACAAATTCTTATTTATATTAGAAAAATAATTTATCAATAGTTTACTCTCTCATAATTATCTAGCAATCATTAGGAAATAAATTGCTTTTGTACTGTGGTAGTTTTTGACAATTTTAAGGTCCTAGAACATCAGGAGCCTGATTGATATTACGTACATATCTGGGCGTTTGTGGCTTCCGTGTATAAGGAGGATGATCTGCTAATGGAGCAAAAGAGTGCATTGATAAGCATTGCTAAAATGGGGAACGATTAGGTTATTTAGGGAGGTGTAAATACTTTTCTCAATTTTAGAGCTTTAAAATCATTAAAGTAATTAAGAAAATTCCTGAGTCCTGCATTTTCCTTTTTTTCTTTTTTCCATTATGTGGAGGTGGGAGGATCACAATAATATTTCTTATTTTTAGAGCCCTTGTCCTGTGTAAGAAAAACATCCATTAATGACCTAAATTGTATCCCAGCAATGGTCATGCTACCTTTTCAAAATGAAGAAACTACAATCCAACATTTAAGGGACTTTCCCAATTCAAAGGTAAGTAAATGGCAGAGCTCACTCAATTACACTCTCCTTAATTATAGTGAAATTTAATATTGGACTGTTGTAAAATTTAACTAGGGAAAATAATCTTTTAAGTCAATAAGCTTACATTCTTTCTACCTAAATTGCTTATACCACTCTGCAAAGAGAGAATCTCTAAAGCTTATTAAAAAGAAAAACTGTATTTACAATCTATTCACATTATAACCATTAGAAATGGTTTATAATGGCCAAACTTTAAGCAATCCATTTTCCTCAGTCAACTAATTTGTGTTTATTTTTCATCCTTAGTAAACTCTGCATCAATTAAAGGCATTTAGTTGCAAGTTATGTAAATCCTAACTAAATATAGCTTAAACTCTAAGGGTTTATTATCTCACATTTGAAATCCTATAGTAGAGGAGTTCTCGAGTTGGTTAATTCTGCAATTCAATAATGACATGTGAACCAAAGAATTTTTTAGCTTTCTGCTATATTAGTTTCAGAATATCCCCCATAAAATTATAAGATGACTGTAGCACTTATGGTTTAAGAAATTTCTAAATAATTTTACTGGTGATATACTACTTATATGCCTATTACGTATTTTATCTATTAAATGGTAGACTATGACCAATAGAATAATTTTAAAAGTTATTAAGTTAGATTCCAAGAGAAGTTATTTACTCAGAGATCATAGAATTAGATAAGGCTTCAAAAAATTCAAGTAGTCAATTTTGTAGGGGGTAATATTTGTGCTAGAGAAACAGAAAAGAAAATAGTGTTGGCAGTTTAGTAAATATAGAATCAAAATTGAAGCATATAATAACAGCAGAATCCATCCATTGCATCTATACACCAACAAAGAGGACAAATAAAGGAAGATATGATTATGGAACCATAAAAAGATGCTGAATGCTGCAATAAAGAGTAATTCTTCATATCAAGAAGAAAAGAAATTTGTTCTAAAAAAAACTTACACTCAGCTTCAGAAATAGTGTCTGCAAACAGGCAGGGTATAGCTGATTTTTCTGGAGGAAAATTTGGTCAGCTCAAAACTGGAAGATTTACTTTATTAGTAAATCATACATGGAATATGTTTTTCCCACTTTTCTTAACAATTCTCAGGAAATGGCAGTAGTCCTATTAGATAGAGTAGGTGATATTAGACCAAGTAACTATCCACAAAAATGAAGGAGATTTTTGTTGCCATTCCTTTCTGCACCTATCATGGTATGGAAATATTCCCACTTTCATACATAAAAATGTTAGATTTCAGAAACACAATGGGTTTTTAAAGGGGTTTGGATCTAGATGACATCGTACCTGCAGTTTACAGATGGTTGTTCATACAGGTGGAACCTAAAAAAATCCCCTCAAATAGCCTAAGGTCTCAGATAATACTCTATAAAAGCACATTTCAGAATGTGAAACTCAAGTATTTTTTACGAAGGTAAACTATGTGGCATTAAATCAAAACAATAAGCCATTCTACTCACATTTCTGTCTCTGACAGTGGTCTCTAGAAATCTCAGCTAAGAGCCTTCTAGAATGTCAACTTCAAAGGTGTGCCTGACAGAACCTTACCTCGACAACTTACTAGGTAATCATTAATTCAGCAAACATGCATTCAGCTGCTGCTCTGCCAGTGGAAGGCATTGTATTACAAGTAATTGTGTGGAAGGGATTAATGAAGAAGAAAGAAGGATGTAAATATGAATAGCCAGAACCTTCCATTACTTAGAGGCACCATGAAAGTCATTCCTATTTGATTCAAGTAACCAAGAAA